TGGGGGGTGGGTTTGTAGTTGGTTTTTCTCCCGGAAAGCAGCATGCTAGTGCCCGTGTGTGTGTTTGTGAGCACACTTTTGTGTGTGCAAAAAAATAACCTCTGGGTTTTGGGCCGGGCTGTCGGTGGGAATGCCCACGAGGATGCCCACAGCCCCACTAAAACACAGCCAGCCCCGGCGAGGGGGGGTTTGAGGCGCCGCTCACGCGGGATGCAGCCAGGCAGGAAGAAGACATTTGAGAGTAAATGTCAGCTTTTGCGTTTCTGGGGTTTTGGGGCTTTTTTTAAACACGTGGGTGGGACTTTTTAATGCCCACATGAGGCTGAGACGGTTTCAGTCTCCAGGGCTTCTCTGGAAGATTCACACAAACGCTATGGAAAGTGTCTCCGTGCTCAAGAGGAGGAAATTTGATGCTGCAGAGATTTTAACCCGGGACTCCAGCAAGGAGCCTCAGTGGTTAGTGTGTCATATCTGATAAAGGCTAATCAGCCCTCCTTGAGGCACTGTTCAATTCTTATTTTCATCTGCCTCCCGTGCGTCTGGCGTTATCTATGAGATGTGCTCCCATGCCAGCAAACCAGTACAAACTCTGCTCTGCTTCTCCCTTTGACACCGGACCGACAGGCAAGGAGAAGGGTGAAAAAGTACACGATGGACCCCACGACCAGAGCCTTTGCAAACAGCCCAGGCAGCTCCCAACCAGCTCTTCAGCAATGCCTGGAAACCAGCAGTGCCCAGCACCAGTTTGCACTGGTCGGGGGGGTGGGATCCCACTGGGGAGGGGGTTTCCCTGCTGTTGGCTGCCTGCCCTGAGCTCGGCATCCCCTGGCTTGGCTTGTGCCCTTCCACAGTCTCCTCTCCTCCCGAGGTGTCTGAAGCCTCCTCAGCAATTACCCCAGCGGCTGTTTGTTCAGGCGATGTGGATTTAGCTCTCCAGCCTCACGTGCAGTGTGTGTATAGGGAAAGATAGATTGCCGCTACTTTCCAGTATAAATCACATTCCTTACAACACTCCAAAGTAGCATTTTCAACCTCAGGGTGCTAATAGGATCCAGCAGGAGAAAGAAATGTCAGCTAAGTAGCCGGGCGGCTGTTTGGAGAGTGCAATGGAGCTGATCCACAGCCCCGGGGCAAAAGGAGCAATCTCGGGGCAAAGGTTAAAGAGTTCAGGAGCACTTCAGCCTACTTAATTGCAACAGGCCTCTTACACGCCGCAAGATGGATGAGTCAAGCTGGGCAAGGGGGGCAGAGCGGGGCCGGCAGCATCACCAGCTGGATGCAGGCAGGCGGCCAGGGACCACGGTCCCCACGGAGGGGACCACAGCATCTCCTGCCCCCGAGATGCTGCCGGATGGCAAAGTGGGTCCACATCACACCAGGACCCCCTCCTCGGCCACCAGCCCCGTCCCCATCCTCATCCGATAAACGGGAGTTTATTTTGGATGCTGTGGAGGTTTTGCTGCAAGAACTCAGCACCGCGCTCCTCCGGGGAGATAAAGAACCGGCAGCCAGAATAACTCCAGCCGCCAAGGAAACGTTCCGTGCTCCCCTGAAAATCATAATGGAACGTTTTAAGGAGAAAGAGAGGGAATTGGTGTTATTGTTCTTGTCATTTCTACAGGATCTGTTTGCGGATTTCTTTTTTATTTCGAATCTGCAGAATCTGAACGCGTCAGCCCCAAGGTGCTTCTGCCGGGAAGGTGCCTCGGATAATATTTTTAGTAGAGTTTTGACTTGTTTTCTGATACACATCTGACAAATGCCATCAAAAGCCGATGTTTTGCATGGAAAAGGTCTTTTGCATTATTTTTTTTTTTTTTTAGCTAAAGAACAAAAAAATTATAATAAACATATTTCATTCATTTCTCACCAGTGAGGTTTATGCTGTTTCCCTGGTGATAAAAGCACAAGGCTGGCTCTTGAGACATATGCATTTAATTCCCAGCTCTACCGCAAACCCCCGCGACGACCTTGAATGAGCCACTCGGGCTCCCATCCGCACGGGATGAGATTTTCCTGTTAAAGCTCCCGTTTTGGCCTCTCGAGCTGGGAAAACGTCTGAAAACAAAAGAACCCTGTTCATTCCACGTGGGCCCACCCCACCGCCCACCCATCCCACGGGACCCCCACTGCCCTGAGCAAGGGGGGGGCGCTCCATCCCCACACCCCGAAGCCCACCCGTGGGGATGCTGAGTGATGGAGCAAGGGCTGAGGATGCCCTCTCGTGGGAAGAGCAGGGCTCGGCTCCCAGTGCCCCACGGGGACGTGGGCAGAGTCCCCACGGATGGCAATGGGTACCCCTGGTCCTATGGTCCCATGCCCCACGCTGGTGCCCCCCCTGAACCCGGTGACATGTCCCCCATCCTCACTGGGATGCAGTCCCACCACCAGGGCATCACTGAAACCTTTCCAGGGCATCACTGAGACCTTTCCAGGGCACCTTTTATTGAGGAGAAGGGAGAGGAGGGCATCCTGCCCACCTGTAAGAGCAAGGATGGGGACATCCCTGTCCCAGCCTCCCCCCCGAGGGTCCCTTTCCCCCCTCGCCCCAGTCATGGGGGGCTCAGGAGAGGAGCAGCGCAGCGAGGATGCAGGGCAGCAGGAGGTGGCCACCAGCGAGGCCAGGGGGTGGCCGGGGGGCTTGGGGGGAGCCGTTGCAGAGGTCTGTGTCGCAGCAGTGGATGCGGACCCCCGGCAGCTCCTGCTGCTGGCAGTGACGGGAGGTGGCACAGCCGCTGGTCAGCAGGATGCCCAGGACCACTGCAAAGCAAGCACAGGGCAGGACGGTGACATTCAGATGGAGGGTGATGCTCTGCCAGCCTTGCCCCCGGGGCCAGGTCCCGTGTGAAGGCTTCAAGGCTTGTTTTGATTATTTTTTTTTGAGCATCACCAGCTCCATCCAGCACCCCCTGCTGCCCCAGCACCCCCCCCGCCCCGGGGCAAACTCACCACTCTCTGTCTTAATGCAGAACCGGTGTTTGAAGCCCTGGTGGGAGTGGGAGCAGGTGATCACCTCTGGGTTGGAGCACCCCATGTCCACGTTTTTGGTGCCAACGATAATGTTGCAGCCATAACACTGGAGTCCGGACACTAAACGAGAACCAGATGAAAGACAATTGGATTTTTCCAGGGGGGAAAAAAAAAATACTTCAACTCCTTCCTGGCTGCTCTCTAACGACAGCTTCGCAGCGCTCTCTGCCTTGCCACGTCGCATTAAGCACCGCGCCGGAGCCCGAAGCTGCTGCCACTTGTTTACCCAGTGGGCCCAAAAATATATAAATATATAAAAACATCTCCCGCTAGAGGTCAGTGCAAAATCAGAGATTAACCTGAGATTTCAGCTGGGATCAAATAGTGGGGACAAGAGAGCTCTGAAACAGGGTTTGAAAACAGTAGGTGAAACCTCCCAACCACAGCCATCACCCAGTCAGGGCTTGGTCACTCTCAGAAACAGCTTTGGCGCGTTTTAACCAAATTCCTGCAGTTTCAGCTGCGCCTGCGTTGGAGACATTCGCATCAGGGGGGTGGTTTTCTCCCTGCTTTTATCGCAGGGTCCATCAGAGGGGTAAAAACAACTGGGAAACAGAAGGGAAACCTTCATTCAGAGCAACTGTGAGCCAACACGCCTGTCACCCCGGGACAGAGGTGTTGGTGTGACCCCGGGACTGTGGCTCTGGTGTGTCCCCAGAGCCTTACACACTTATATTGGCAGCAGCTCAGTCCTTCCCTGCAGGGTCAGCGACCGTGTCTGAGAATTGCTTGCCCTAGACCAGCATGGGAATTAAGCCATTTCTCAGGTTTCTTTAAAAAAAACAACGAAGCCTTCAAAGGATATTCATTTACACCGTCCCTAGAGTGCAAGCGCAGTACCTGATCCCTGGGTTATTAATCACAGCAGAAAAAAAATTTGCCTTTCCCCACCTCTCAGCCCTTCCTGAGGGATCCTGGCCTCGTCTGCTACCCCGGGGTTTCTGGGGGGGTCGGTGAGCCCCCTCACACAGCCAGGCACAGCGAGGGGAGTCCCTGCCCCAGCAGGACCAGGAAAGGGGAACCCAGGAGATCCCAGCTCCTGGGAAAAGGGGAACCCAGGAGATCCCAGCTCCTGGCCCCAACTCCTTACCCTCATGCCCTTGTTTTGTACAAAACAGGATGACATTAGCTCCATCCAAAAACCCTCCAGCACACAGGAACACGCAGCTTCATCACCTGGAGCAGGATGGCCCCACATCCACCCCCAGGATACACCCCACGTGAGCAACCTGGGCTCAGGGAGGACGTGACCAACCGTAACCCCAAAGCACCCCAGACCCCACACCCCAGGGACGGTGCCACTTACCCTCTGGGAGGACGAAGACGACGGTCAACAGCGAGAGGATCCCATGGGCACCTCCAGGCATGTGTCCTGAGAGCATGGGGGCTCGGAGGACGGAACACCAGCGTCTGGGGCAGACACCACCTCTCCTCCAGCTCTTCCACCCCTCAGGCCGTGCACCTCGCTTGATTCTCACCTGCCAAACCCTCCCCCAGAACTCGGGGTGCAGCAGGGATCTGGCTGCCCCCCGTGGCCCCCAGTCTGGCGACGTCGATGCTTAATTTCTCCCTTTTCCTCCTGAGAAATTCGCCGGCTCCCTCCGTTCCTGCACAGACGTGAGTGCGTATGTGCTACCCTCGGTTATTTCTGTCCTATTTCCTCTGTCCACGATCACTTCCCATTAATACCACCGTGCAGCAGCTCTTGGAGAGAAATTCTCCCTAATCAAGATTTAGTTTTAAATCCACTTCGAAATCCTCTAATTCAGTTGGATTAGGCAGAAGGGGTTTGGGGAGATGTGTGCTTTTACTTTGTTTTTTTTTATTATTTATTTTCCCCTCCTCTTTTTCATCTCTGAGCTGCCTCATCTTCACGAACGGACCCACCGGCTTTCTGTGACATATTGTGCTATTTAAAGAGAGGAGGAATAATTTTATTAAAGAGAAGCAGTCAACTAATTTTAAATCCAAGGCTTGAGATTCTCTAGCACAGTACGGCCCTGGGGATGGCCAGGGGGTTAAAGGGAAAACCTGATGGAGGGAGAGGTGGGTTGGAATGTATCATAGGATTCATGCACAAGAAAATAGTTGCCTTAATAAAGCAGCAAGAAGCCAAATGGGGCCAGTCCCAGGTTTGCATGGGCTCTGGAGGGACCCAGTTGGGGTTGTTTGGAGGTTGGGAAAGGGATGAGGGGCACAGAGGAGGAAAGCACTGAGCTGTGATGGCTCCCATCCCCCTGGGCCAGGACCAGACCCGCAGCCACATGGGGCATCATGGACATCACCAACCACAGGATCAGGCCCCCAGACCCCCGCTGGCTCCCTCACCAGTGTCCCCACAAGCAAAGCCCCAGCTCTTGGTGGAGCTAATGGGACTTAGAGAGCTAATGCTTACTAATAAGAGAGCGTGACCGAATGCGTGGGATTAAAAAATTAAAATGACAAAATAAGCTGCTTATGTAGCCCATCCAGCAACCGCCTGCTAACGGCACCCAGAATCCCCCACCCTGGGCACCCCAGCCCTGCGGGCACCTCCTCTGCCAGACACAGCTCCCAACCAGGCAGGGACACGGACCTAATCTCCACACAGCATCTTCATTAGCAGGATGGCTCGTTAATATTTCACTAGGAAGCAGCACAAACTTGCCCAAGTCTGGGCATCTAGAGCTCAGGAGGGGCAATTAGCACCTGGGAGAAGTGCCTAAGTAATGTAGCTCATTTATTCCAATCACTTAAACCACCCACAGCATCTCGCTTGCCTCCAAACAATGTGATTATAATGAAGAGTCTAACACAGCAAAGCCTGAAAGCCTCGGGGAGAAGGGATGAAACGCAGGAAATGGGATTGATTTAAACACATGCATAAATCAGAGCATTCAATAAGAGGGGGGAAGCTAACTTTTAATCCCTTAATAAACTCATCGGTATCTAGAAGGGGCGGTCAGGAGCAGCCTGGGCTCTGGTGAGACCCTGCTTGGAGAATTGCATCCAGCTTTGGATTCCTCAGCACAAGAAGAACATGGAGCTGTTGGAGTGAAGAGGAGGCCATGGAGGTGGTCTGAAGGCTGGAGCCCCTCTGCTGGGAGGACAGGCTGAGAGAGTTGGGGGGGTTCAGTCTGGAGAAGAGAAGGCTCCAGGGAGACCTTAGAGCCCCTTCCAGTCCCTAAAGGGGCTCCAGGAGAGATGGGGAGGGACTCTTGATCAGGGAGGGGAGCCATAAGAGAAGGGGAAAGGGTTTTAAACTGAAAGAGGGGAGATTTAGATGAGATAATAGGAAGAAATTCTTCGGTGTGAGGGTGGTGAGAGCCTGGCCCAGGCTGCCCAGAGAAGCTGTGGCTGCCCCATCCCTGGAGGGGTTCAAGGCCAGGCTGGATGGGGCTTGGAGCAACCTGGTCTGGTGGGAGGTGTCCCTGCCCAGGGCAGGGGGTTGGAACTGGATGATCTTTAAGGTCCCTTCCAACCCAAACCATTCCATGAGTCTATGACTCTATAATTCTATGACTCCATGCTGGGGTGGTGCAGCAGCTCTGGGCAGCTGGTGGCCTTGAGGCCGTGCATGTCTCTGGGCACAGCACCTGGCTCCATCTGCAGACTCGTCCGGCAAATCCACTCCTCCACGACTGGCACCAGCTGCTCTTTCCTGCAGGGAACCGGGGGAGAAGCTCCGGGAGAGCCGATGGGGACAAGGGACAGCCCGGTGCACAATACCTGGCGTCGGTGGGATGGACAACGGGACACCGGGATGGGTAAGAACATCATGCTGTCCCCACAGCATCGCCCAGGGCCAGTCTGAGGAGCTGATTTGGCCAGACGTTTGCTTTGGGTTTATTCCCTTGGCATGTAGAAGGCAAAGACCTTTAGAAAAAGGGGAAAAAAAAACACCAAAAAAAAAGGAGAGAAAAAAAAAACAACAAAAAAACCAAACCAACCTCTGCAACTGCTTCCACATCTGGAACCAGCGTACGTTTCTTTTTAACTTGTCATTAGCTCGGCTGCCCTTCCGAGAGATTTATCCGCCCGGGGGCAGCAGGAAGGCGGTAGGAAAGGGCCCTCCTCCCCCGCCTGAGAAAAATGGGATTAGCAAATTCCCCCGGTACAAACGCGTTCCCGCTTAAACCTTCGGGATACCCAGAAAGACGGCTCAACCCTGCGCAGATTAGACGGGTTTCGCCCGCAAATCCTGCTTTAGAGCTCATCCCTGCGGGAAGCAGAGCTCCACCCGTCGCGCCCACCCCCCCCGCACCCGGCCCGCAGCTCCCCTCCCGGGGCGGGACTCGAACCGGCGGACCCAGAGGCCCCTCCCCGCCGCCATTAGCGAGGCGGAAGCAGAAGCGCCCTCCCCCGGTGAAGGTGGCCGTTGGGCGGGGGCACGGAGTCAACGGCAGAGGGCAGTCCAAGAGGATGGGGCCTCTGCGCTCTGATTGGCCGGTGGCGGTGAATATATTAAAGAGACGGCAAGATGCGCGCGTCAATGCTATTTTAACGGGGTTTTCAGGGCTTTTACACGTATAAAAGGAACTAGTGTAAACATTTCTTATGGGAATCAGAAAGAGATGTTAAACTGAGAAGAAAAAGACAACGATTATTTACTCACCCGATCCGAAATAGAAGCGGTTTGATGGAAGTTTAAATACCGTCAGATGCAAGCCATCCAGTGTGTTGTATGAAAGGAGAGAAGGTTAGCACTCCCCTTGATAAGGATGGAAGAGGTCCTAGTGGCCTATACAACACGCATACGGTTAAGGCACTGCCACCTACTTCGTGGCATCTAACCATGTTTTTTTTTCTCCTTTCTCCGGTTCCTTTTTTTGCCCATATTCTGCTTTTCCTCAGCCTAAAAGCTCCCGGCAGAGCAGAGCCCCAGGGTGACAGCTCACTTATCCCCACACAACATGCTCCAGCCCCTATCACCCAACAAGCACCAGACCAGTCACCACAATTAGCTAATCCTGGTCATCAATCAATCCACTCCAGGCTGGACACAGGTATAGCTGAGAGCTCATGCCAATTTTGTAGAGCACAAGTCCTGCAAGAAGCAGTTGAGGAACCAAGGTTGTTCACTCTGGAGAGGAGGCTGAGGGGAGACCTTCTCGCTCTCCACAACCCAAAAGGAGGGTGTAGCACTGGGATCAATCTCTTGTCCCAAGTAACAGGAGATAAACAAGAGGAAATGGCCTCAAGTTGCACCAGGAAAGATTTAGGATGGATATTAGGAAAGAAAATCTTCACCAAAAATGTTATGAAACATCAGAACAGGCTGCCCAGGGAAGTGTCCATCCCTGGAGGTCACCATCCCTGGAGGGATTCAAAAGACAGATAGACTTGGTGCTGAGGGACATGGGTTAGTGGTAACTTGGCCGTGCTGTTGATGGTTGGATTTGATAATCTTTAAGATCTCCTCCAACCTCAACAATTCAATGATTCTGCTCCCAGGTGGGATATTAGGGACTTTAAACACAACCTTTACAAAGGACAGCTTTCTAGCAGATCCTTTACATCAGGACTCTTCAGCCTGGGGGAAAAGAAGATCCTTCTTCAAGAGATTTGCAGGGAAACCATCTCCATCTTCTCCAGAGCCCCTCGGCTCAGGGGGCAGGGAAGGCCATAGCACAAACACCGTTCCAGGGGAAGCACTATGCCAGGAAACATTTTTCAATCTACATGAAAATGCTTTGCTGAAGCAATACACCAGCTCCTCCACCAGCCACATCTTGCAACTGAAAAGGTTCATTGGCCTGGGAGAAAAAGACTGAAAAAAAAAAATAAATAATAATGAAAAAAATTTATTACTTCAGCAGCGACGCTCACTAAGTCTAGAGACACGGTGTCCTTTCCTGGGGGTAATGAAAAACCTCAAAAGACAGTGATATTATTAATAGCCACTTTAGCACCAGCTCCACATGAACTCTATTTTTATATTTTAAAAGGAAAAGCTATACCTCATGTCTTGCAGCTGTCTTCTTCGCTGAGGGTAGAGCAAGGCAGTCTCCCAGCAGCCACCAGAGGAGAAGTTTGTGCTGTAATTGATTTTCATTAACAAGTACATGAGGTTGATACAAAAAAAAAAAAAAAAAAAAAAGGATTTTTGCTTCACCAGGAACAAAAGATCCCCGTAACAAGGGGAACCCTTTGGGTGCAATAAATGCTAACTCCTGGATCATCCATCCCTTGGCCTGCTCTGCCCCTTGGGCTCGACGAGGGCAGATTCCTTTCCCCTTAGCTAAAGGGCTCCGAGAGGGTTTGTACGAATGTTGCCTCTGCTGAGGACACCTTCAGTTCGATCCTCTCACTTTCTTTTAAACAAATTTCAACTTGAGTTATGCCCTCCTTCTCTCTCTCCACAACAGCCACGAAGCACCACACAGCCAGTCCTCCACAGAAGGAGCTGCTCCAGAACTACTTCCTTCTAAAGGTGTCCAGAAGGGAGGCTTCTTGGGACAGACACTTCACACCAGCACGCTCTTACCACGAACATACACATAAAATCCCACCTTTTTTATTACGGCATATGGGTTTTTTTGTAGTTTTTTTTTGGATGTGTAAATACCACATGGGTATGACAAAAAGGGAAAGAAATACCAACGCTGAAACAGATACAGAGTCATGCCATTATCAATACAGTTTCATACGATGGATTTTTCAAGATACAAAAAGTCTGGGTCTTTTTTTTTTTTCCATTTTTTTACATTGAAATAACTTTACAGTGTTCTGTGAGTGAGCTCGCTTTTTTAACCAGAAGAGGAAAAAAAAAAATAAAAATTAAAGTATGCCGAGAACAACTACAAGCAGGATTCATTTTAATGATTAACAGAAGAACTGTAACTTTGCTCTAGAACAGCATCTATTAAACACACGTAACAAGAGGTAAGCGACTATACAGAAGTTAAGAGGAGATTTCACCACAGGAGTCAAGTCAGGGGCAGGAAGAGGGAAATCTGGAAATCTGTATGGTTTTATTTGGTCACAAAGTTTGAGCTGAGTGTTTAAAATGAAGCACCCTTAAAGATGCAGTACTCCTAGTTAAAACAATACAGAAACTTCCCAAGACTAGAACCTACATTCTGGAAAAAAAAAAATAAAAATAAAAAATAAAAAAAATTAGACATTTTAGAAAAAAAAAATCCCACACATGTCTGGGCTCGTGACTTAACTTACTGTTACAAAGTAGACTGGCAGCTCCTCCTTAAGCAGCGACAGTGCCCAGAAGTGATGCCACCATAAAGTACAGTATCTTTGGGGTGTCCAACACAAGGCTGACACTTGTAACGCGATGTCAGAACGATCCATTTGCTGCCAAAACATTAGGCAAGAAAAGGAGACACTGCATCTTTTTGTTTGTTTGTTTGTTTCCACCACGTTGCCCGGTTCTAGCAAAGAGCTAAGACGTTTTCTTTGGGCCAAGACTAACAGAAACCACTTTATCAATTCTTCAGGTTTCCTGCCAAACTGGATTTATTATTCTCATGTGGTTTTTTTAATATTTTTTTTTTAAAAACATCTTTTTCCTGACAGTCTCTAAAGTGATACTGGAACGTTTAACAGTCACTCTTCCACAGTTTAATTGTTTTGTCGTTTTCTAGTGCCGCTGATGCAATGATGTTTTCTGTTGGGTGACAAGCTGTTGAGATTACAACATCTAGGTAAAAAGAAAAGATATAAAAATAGCATTATTTACAGCAATGAAATTTGGTTCCTAGCAGGCATTTCTGAAAATACAGCAAGAGCCAAGTTACTATTTCCTTGTAGCAGAATTACAAACATGTTATTCATAACTATTTTCCAACTACTGCCTCTCTGTGAGAGGAAATGCCAGCAAAAAAGAATTGAGAGTAAGTAGTTGGAAAGTGTTTGACAGGTTTCAAGATGTGAGAACTCTCCAGATTCTAGTCCTTGCTTACTTCACAGACAAAACCCTTGGCATATTATGTCAGACACAGCTAATAAAATCCCAGCTCAGTTTTTTCTTTCCATGTAAGGTATTTCCAACATCCCATTCAATACTTCAATAGCACTTCATCTTTAGAGCCTTGCCCGAGCCTGAAAATGAAAACCTGCTGCCACTGCCCCGACTTACAGGCCAAATCAATGGTCCTGCAAAGGAATAAGCATGTTTAAATTCCACAGCACAGCTCCTTCTAGTTGATACAAAGTGCTGCTCTCCGACAGGACTCAGACTGAAGTACCCATCAGGTGGCATCTCAATCCCTGCTCAACTCTGCCTTCAACAGGCACACGTACTGACACGTACAAACTTCAGTCCTTACCCTTTCAAGAGCTGCAGCTCCAAAAGATGTTAATGGGCAAAGTCCCTAATATTACGAGTTGCTTAAATATCTCAACCAGTTCAGAACTCGAGGAAATCTTTTTTGTAAGCTGACATCAAAGTTCTCACAGTGGAAGAATAAATACTTGCAACGCCCATAAAAAGCCCTTCATAAAAAGGAGTAAACTGCTAGGGTTCAGTTAAGCATCAGCCAGTTGAGAATTTTTGAGTCTGACAGTCGAAACTAAATATCAGAGAGAAAATGCTCAAGCTAAACCCTCAGTACAAACAGGCACACGTACTGACACGTACAAACTTCAGTCCTTACCCTTTCAAGAGCTGCAGCTCCAAAAGATGTTAATGGGCAAAGTCCCTAATATTACGAGTTGCTTAAATATCTCAACCAGTTCAGAACTCGAGGAAATCTTTTTTGTAAGCTGACATCAAAGTTCTCACAGTGGAAGAATAAATACTTGCAACGCCCATAAAAAGCCCTTCATAAAAAGGAGTAAACTGCTAGGGTTCAGTTAAGCATCAGCCAGTTGAGAATTTTTGAGTCTGACAGTCGAAACTAAATATCAGACAGAAAATGCTCAAGCTAAACCCTCAGTACAAGCTGACGTGAGGGATGTTATATCAATAAAAACAAAATTATCTTCCATACCTGTGTGCCCTTGTAATTTCTGTACAATCTCTTTTGTCTGAAGGTTCCAAATATAAACCAGGTTGTCTTCTGAACCAGACACAATCCACTGGAGGGGCAAAGAAAAAACATAGTTATTAAATAATTCTCATCTATATCTAACTGCTATTCTTCAGTAAACATCTATCATCGTATGAAAGGGAAATGCCAACATTAGATGACTGCTTGATGGGGCTCATTCTCTCTCAACCCAGACAGGAGCAGCTGCTCTCCTGCTGCAGGAAAGCTCTTTCCACTTCTGCAGCAGGACAGCAGGCTCACCCAGAGACACAGACACCAGAGCTGCCCACAGGGACTCCCCAGGACACCCTCTTCTCCCACCACACTACAGCACCCGTGAACCAGCACCCACCAAAGGAGGTTTCCATCCCCGAACTACTCTTTTTTTCTACAGAGAAAAGCAGTAAAAAAATGCACGTTGGTAAAAAGCATCTCAAATAAGTACTAACCTTTCCACCGGTAACAGAGAAATTTGCAAATATGCAGTACTTCTCATTTTTGTGTCCTGTGTACGTCTTCAGGCACTGAAAGCAAAGAGCCACAAGACATGAATACAACTGGGAGGTAGTTTTCTCAGTAAAGGACAAATTCTCTTGGCTGAGCAGACTAAACATCTGCCTGTGCTTCCTACCCCACCACCTTATCTAGAGGATGCAGAGGCCATCTCTGCCCTTCAACACTAAACAATTTGAGGGGGAAGCCCTCAATTTGCCACATTACCACAGAGAAAGAGAGAAACAGCAATGTATTGTTCGTAAGGAGAAAAATGCAGAAACATGGCTTTACTTAATGTCTCAGGGCTATACAGGTGGTCAAATCACTTTTTTTTATAAAGGTATATTAAGTCCTCTCCAATAAGAGGTACTAATGCTTTTTTCCACAGTATTCATAAAATGCTTGGCAAGCTTAAAAAGCATATACAAAATCCAGATCTTCCTACAAGCTAAGTCTACATAGTGAGACAGGATTGTTTTTACCTTTCCTTTGCTGTAGTCCCAAAGTTTAAGAGTGCTAGAAAACAACAGAAAAACAAAGATTTTAGTTCCCATTTTTTTTTCTTCTGACAGTTTCCCAGTGGCAGTAAGTTTCTTCTTATCAGTTTTTAAAGTCTACACGGATCACTTTAGCCTGGCTTCAGAATGCAGCATTAGTTAACCCCAAAGTATAAATTTTACTGCCGTGCCATTCATATTCTCCTCCTTTTTTAAAAAAATACCTACTTGTCCAAAGTTGCAGCTAGTATGTATTTGCCATTTGGAGAGAATTTCACAAAAGACACAGGAGGATTATCATCATCTGCAGTGAAAATAAAAGTGATATTAAACAGTGCACAGCTGTATTGTCTCATTGACAGATAAATTCTTTTGACAATAATTTGTTGTTATTTGTTTCACTGAAACAGGCTTTCAGTTTTGTTGTCCCTTGATATTTCAGAAAAATCAGAGGTGTAAGGAAGGTGATTGTTTTCAGTAATTTAAGTAAAGGATATTAAGCATTTTTCTCACAAATATTTTAAATAACCATTTGTAACTAAATTTCCTTCCTCGTATGAGTACTTATCAAAGCAAGACCGTATCTCTACCTTTCAAAAATCACTACATTAGAATACATGCCATAGATTTGTAGTGCCATATAACTCAACTATATAATGCTCTATAAGAATATGGAGGTCTAGGGAACATATGCCCAACAGGTGGTTTCCTTTTATTAGCCATGTTCACAAGATGCCTCGTGCATCTTGCAGTAAAAGCAGGCAGCTCCTGTAGTCACAGACCACTCGTTTCCATCACATCCACAGCACAAATCTCTATCGTTACAACTTTGAACAGCTGTACAGTGAGCCCTGCACAGCTGAATGGTAGAAAACTTTGGAAAACTCTCATTTGTCCACCTACACTACACAGCTCTCAAAGCTTAAGCAAGTTCCCATTCACGTGAGAGGACAGTTTCTCTTATTGCAACAGACAGGAGGACAACAGGTACTAACAATGGCAAAAACACAGCAAAACAGAGCTTCAAGAAGCCACTGTTCACAGCAACAATGCAGAGTATCTTTTTCACAAATTAAAAACGAAGACTAAAACACAAGAAGTATTCCTACTTACCTATGAGAGTTTTCAAGCACTGCCCTGATGCTGTATCCCAGATTCGACTATGAAAACCAAACAAGAATCATTACTATTGGGTCTGAAGTCTTTGTTCTGATTTTAACATTACAAATAAAAGTAGGGGTTTTTTTTAAACGCAAAAGGTTTGAACAGTGCCACAAGAAATAACCACTTACCAGAGTCCATCATAGCTACTTGACACTATCAGGGATCCATCACGATTAAAATGCACCTGCAATATTAGAGAAGGGGAAAAATAACTTTACTGATGTTCACAAAGATCAAAATTTTAAGCCCCACTGAAAGTACTTCCATTACCGACACCGCAACACACGTGGATAGAAGCAGGAAATCAACATGACATACAAACAACAGGCACGAGTTTAGATGGGCAACATAAGTCAAGATTCTTTGCCCCTCAGTTTGTCTGGTGTAATTATAAAGATGGAGGGATGTTAACTACAGCTGTTTATTTGAGCATCAGGGACTGGAGTACATGTTTCTGCAGAAGCTAAGAAGAACACCTGCACACACAAATACTCTGTTCAAACAGCATTAGCTGCTCAAATAATAGCAGTATCAAATTCGGGGATAATATACCTTATAAGGGCACAGAATTTAACCTCATATGTAGCCACATGTATGTTTTAACGTCAATTTATTCCCTTGAACTACACCTCAGAATACTGCTATTTTAAAGAATAATTAGTACCAATGTTCATTTTTAAGTGTGAAACATCATCTATACAAGGCAGAATAATCGCGTTATGACAGCCATGGTTTAGCACATCTGAGGCCCAATTTTTTTTCAGTTCCCTTAATTTCCAAAATATTAGGAGTTGAACACCTTCTGTTCTTCCTTCATTTGAATGGACACTGCTGTGTTCCAAGCTCCTTTTACCTATTGAATGAATGAGATTTGAAACAGAGCATACTATGGAACTGCCCTGCTCTGGATTTCAGCAACAGCTTGGAAGAACACAGAAACAAAGATGTACAGACCGTTCTCTGACCCTCAAGTGACCACAAATCTGTGCCCCAGTATCAGACTGCCAGACCCAGGCCTGACGGGCACAACACTGTTCGCTGCTCCCCACATTAACACCCAAGACCAAAATCTATATCGATTGTAAAGAAAACACTGCTCATTTCATTCTCGTTGAGCAACAACCACTGGCAAATCCACCACAGCCCATCCACCACACCGTGCAAGGGCCCCACAATAAGAGTTAGAGCACAAACCCACTTCTTTTGGACTAGATGATCTCTATGGTCCCTTCCAACTCGAAAAATTCAGTGAAAAATTCAGTGAAACTCTCCGTCAACAGAGCAGGAGAGGAGCTCTGCTAAACAAAATAAGCATGTCAGCATGTTCATTTACTGGAAGGGACTTACAGCTGAAACCGGGTCAGAATGAGCAGGCAACGTCTTGAGGCACTTCCCTGTCTTCACATCCCATATCCTCACGCTTTCGTCAAACTGGAGATTGAAGAAACATGCACAAGGTGGTTTAATGATGCACCTATTCGAAGCATGCAAGGTGTGACAGCCTGACAAGCTGCACGTGCCTTCCTCCAGCTGCACTGGAAAGCACAACGCAGGGTAAAAATAACAGACTGGGAACACAGCTCCCTGAACTCTTCCTCTCCGCGCAGGAAACCTGCGTGCTGAGGGTGGGTTAAGGGCTTTGACTGTGTCCCCAAGCAAAGACAGCAGTGACAGTGCACCACTCATCCGTTTGTGGAAGACAGAGAATTGAAATTCTAAGGGGATGTGACTGGTACCCTCCGCTCACATGGTTAGCAAAACTAACACCACTTTACAAGGCAAGCAGCCACTCTCTGTGACCAAGCAGGCCACTTAAGTGTCCCCTTTCCCTCATTATCAGGCCCTGAAGGTCCTGTGAACCAAGAGGACAAACCAAACAGATTTCCTCTTCCCCTCCCTACCACCCTGGAGATTCCTGGGCACCAGGCTGATTACTCCCTTCCCCACCAGCCTTGAAGGTCCCAGGCACCCAGCCAAGCCCATGGTGGTGGTGACCACCCATCCCACAGTGGAGAAGCCTAACAGCACACAGAGCACTGCCTACAAAACCAAGCAGTTACAAATCCTAAGGGGGAACCTGGACCAGAACTGCTGCTGGACACTAAGACCGTGACCCCCCAGGAGCCAGGGATGCCCCCACCATCATCTGCTTCCTCCAAGGACTGGGTGATTGATGTGTATTCTTTTATATGACTTTGGAGCCTAGATTATGATTGTTCTATTGACACAGCAAATCATGTGTTAAGATCTGACCCTACCTGCAGAGGGTCCAAGTGATCAGAAAACATACTTTGAGTTAAGTGAGAATCTAGGTGACTAGAAATTATAAATTAAGTTGTATTATAAATTCTGTATTATGCTACCTATAAACGACACCGCAACACACGTGGATAGAAGCAGGAAATCAACATGACATACAAACAACAGGCACGAGTTTAGATGGGCAACATAAGTCAAGATTCTTTGCCCCTCAGTTTGTCTGGTGTAATTATAAAGATGGAGGGATGTTAACTACAGCTGTTTATTTGAGCATCAGGGACTGGAGTACATGTTTCTGCAGAAGCTAAGAAGAACACCTGCACACACAAATACTCTGTTCAAACAGCATTAGCTGCTCAAATAATAGCAGTATCAAATTCGGGGATAATATACCTTATAAGGGCACAGAATTTAACCTCATATGTAGCCACATGTATGTTTTAACGTCAATTTATTCCCTTGAACTACACCTCAGAATACTGCTATTTTAAAGAATAATTAGTACCAATGTTCATTTTTAAGTGTGAAACATCATCTATACAAGGCAGAATAATCGCGTTATGACAGCCATGGTTTAGCACATCTGAGGCCCAATTTTTTTTCAGTTCCCTTAATTTCCAAAATATTAGGAGTTGAACACCTTCTGTTCTTCCTTCATTTGAATGGACACTGCTGTGTTCCAAGCTCCTTTTACCTATTGAATGAATGAGATTTGAAACAGAGCATACTATGGAACTGCCCTGCTCTGGATTTCAGCAACAGCTTGGAAGAACACAGAAACAGAGATGTACAGACCGTTCTCTGACCCTCAAGTGACCACAAATCTGTGCCCCAGCATCAGACTACCAGACTCAGGCCTGACAGGCACAACACTGTTCGCTGCTCCCCACATTAACACCCAAGACCAAAATCTATATCGATTGTAAAGAAAACACTGCTCATTTCATTCTCGTTGAGCAACAACCACTGGCAAATCCACCACAGCCCATCCACCACACCGTGCAAGGGCCCCACAATAAGAGTTAGAGCACAAACCCACTTCTTTTGGACTAGATGATCTCTATGGTCCCTTCCAACTCGAAAAATTCAGTGAAAAATTCAGTGAAACTCTCCGTCAACAGAGCAGGAGAGGAGCTCTGCTAAACAAAATAAGCATGTCAGCATGTTCATTTACTGGAAGGGACTTACAGCTGAAACCGGGTCAGAATGAGCAGGCAACGTCTTGAGGCACTTCCCTGTCTTCACATCCCATATCCTCACGCTTTCGTCAAACTGGAGATTGAAGAAACATGCACAAGGTGGTTTAATGATGCACCTATTCGAAGCATGCAAGGTGTGACAGCCTGACAAGCTGCACGTGCCTTCCTCCAGCTGCACTGGAAAGCACAACGCAGGGTAAAAATAACAGACTGGGAACACAGCTCCCTGAACTCTTCCTCTCCGCGCAGGAAACCTGCGTGCTGAGGGTGGGTTAAGGGCTTTGACTGTGTCCCCAAGCAAAGACAGCAGTGACAGTGCACCACTCATCCGTTTGTGGAAGACAGAGAATTGAAATTCTAAGGGGATGTGACTGGTACCCTCCGCTCACATGGTTAGCAAAACTAACACCACTTTACAAGGCAAGCAGCCACTCTCTGTGACCAAGCAGGCCACTTAAGTGTCCCCTTTCCCTCATTATCAGGCCCTGAAGGTCCTGTGAACCAAGAGGACAAACCAAACAGATTTCCTCTTCCCCTCCCTACCACCCTGGAGATTCCTGGGCACCAGGCTGATTACTCCCTTCCCCACCAGCCTTGAAGGTCCCAGACACCCAGCCAAGCCCATGGTGGTGGTGACCACCCATCCCACAGTGGAGAAGCCTAACAGCACACAGAGCACTGCCTACAAAACCAAGCAGTTACAAATCCTAAGGGGGAACCTGGACCAGAACTGCTGCTGGACACTAAGACCGTGACCCCCCAGGAGCCAGGGATGCCCCCACCATCATCTGCTTCCTCCAAGGACTGGGTGATTGATGTGTATTCTTTTATATGACTTTGGAGCCTAGATTATGATTGTTCTATTGACACAGCAAATCATGTGTTAAGATCTGACCCTACCTGCAGAGGGTCCAAGTGATCAGAAAACATACTTTGAGTTAAGTGAGAATCTAGGTGACTAGAAATTATAAATTAAGTTGTATTATAAATTCTGTATTATGCTACCTATAAACTGTACTACATTGATTCTGCTTGTAGAAATCCTGTGCCATTCTAATCATAAATTCTGTGCTATACTAACCATAATAATCTGTTAAGAAAAGAAAGCTTTAATTTTAACTACAATTTGGTGCTGTCATCACTCTGCCAAAGATCCCTAAAAGAACCTGTCTGTCCCCTCAGTGTCAGGTGACAGGGGTGTGCAGCACTTGCTTTGCACTAAGAAAAAAAAAAAATAAAATCACTTACTGATCCAGACACGATGAGGTTTGACTGAGGGTTAAAGTTGCAGCAGAAAACGTAGTTACTGTGCCCTTTCAATGTCTTCAAGCACTTACCCTGAAGTAAGATTTAGCAGAGTTAAGTATACAGCATCCTTCATAGCCAAAACTGCATTCAGATAAGCTGCACTAAGGTTAATCACTGCTCATAAAGAAAACACCTCTAACCCCAGAGTTAGAAGGGCAGAGGACCAGCTACAGCAAAACAACAGGAAAGAAAAAAGACATTTTTAACAACCGCAGCCAAGTTGCAAACCCTTTGGGCAACTTAAGAGAACCAAGCAGTTTAACATACCTAATCAAAATTCAACCAAATTATCCAGTTCTTATTGTAATCACAAAAAAAGGAAGGGGGAGAGAAGCAAAAATAGGTGAAGTTATGATAAGAAGGTACAAACAGGTTTTATTTGAGAGGCTGCTTTCAGAAACAAAGCCTGCAGTTGGATTGCCATTGTAAGGCTTAAGCACTCTCAGAAGACAACCAGGCTCCTCATGGCAGCCATAAGCACCCCCTCTTTCCAAAAACAGCCAGCAAAACTCGTTTATCCTCACAGCCCATTCCACCAGCAGCTCATTATAAGCAGGAAAGAGTATTACCCAAAGGGGAGCAAGTGCTTAAACCCCCACTTTCTCTCATCAGAGCACACCAGGGCTGTCTCTCAGAAGAACATGAGTTAATGCTGGGAAGAAGGAACGTAAATAATAGTTTCCGTCCTTACCGAGCTCACATCCCATATTTTGAGAGTTTTATCATCAGAGGCAGAGACAAGAAGGTTGGAATCTGATGACCAAGCAACATCAGAGATACCCTAAAACAAAGGAAAACAATGCTCTTCTCAGCTCTGTTTATTCACTGACACAGGAAAATGGAAAACACAGACTGCATATTATATTCGCAGCCAAAGCATGAAAGAAAATTCAGGGTTGGGAATTCATTATTTGACTGAGTTAACAGCTCCTTTGGCACTTGTTCATTTTAAGCTGAGCCATATACTCCAAAACCATCAATGGCTTGTTCACATAGCTCTTACTGTGGCCACCAACACCCTTTCTTGGAATTCATAAACAGTATGCTATATAAACTAATCTGAATAAGTGGCTTCTCTTCATGACAAATGGCTTCTTCTTTATGGTCTGAATCCCTAAGGGCTGGACAAGAACAAGATTCTACTGGTTTTTCTTTTGGTGAATCTTCATTTTCACTTACGAAAATTTAGCACGTGAGAAACTTTTGAAAACAAAACCGAAGGGTTTGGGAGTTTGAGTTTTCTTTAGAACTTTGCCGAATGAGTAAGTGTTGTGTTTATGTAGGCAAACCCACAAGAAAAATTCAATCTCCTTAAAAGGCAAGCCACTCTGCTCCATATACAAAGGAAAGAGGGAACAGTTTACAGAGATTTTCACCCAAGAATGCATTGCCTGGTGTCTGAGGTTGGTGTTCCTGAAATGGAGGGGCTCAAGAAATCGGGAAGGCACTGTGCATGCAGGTACTCCATTATCGGCTGCACTTCACCCATATTCCCAGCCTGACCCAGTATTACTCCAGCATTTCCAGTCCCAGGCTGTTGTACAGGACTGTATAAACAAAGTAGTACAAACCCAGACTGAAGAACAAGCCTTTTACATGAGTCAAACTAACCAAGGATGGAAATTTCTAGATGAGGAGAAGAAAGCAAAACTCTTTACAAGTAGATTGGATAGTAGGAAAAATTTCTTCACGGAAAGGGCTGTCAAAAACTGGAATGGGCTGCTCAGGGAAGTGGTGGAGTCACCATCCCCAGAGGTATTTAAAAGACATGTAGATGTAGTGCTCAGAGACATGATTTAGCGGTGGACTTGGTAGTATTAGGTTTGCAGTTGGACTTGATGACCTTAAAGGTCTTTTTCAACCTAAACAATTCTATGATTCTCTTAAGTAAATTCATATTCAAGTGCAGAGCAATCTCCTCCTACTTACCAGTTTATGACCAGATATTGTTTTCTCAAACTTGCCATCATATGCTCCCCAAATCTTAATGAGTTTGTCAGCAGCTGGAAAAGAATGTGCCAGTTAAAGGTATCAACAGCACTAACAGATACAGGTGTCACTTCCAGTTGGAAAGAAATGCATGAGCTACAACTCTGCAAACCCTGGGTCTGTCTCCCTCCCCGAGCAGACCCAAGTGTAGAAGGCAATATGTAATTGGTAAAGAACAGTTTCGTACACGCCAAGCTGCAGCAGCTGAGATTACATAAACTGCCTGGAATGCACAAAGTCTCCAGCTGCTTTAGTTTCTCTGATGACAACTTGGGTTTCTACTTTTGTTTTAGATTGCCAGTGGTGAAAGTAGTACCGTTCCATAGGAATGCTGAAATGCTTTTGCTCAAAAAGAACAAAAATTACAGCACAAGCTGGACTGAATTAATGGCTGCAAAAACCCAAACATAATATCCGTGTTAATTTGCAAAACACGCCAGAGAAAAAGGTTGATATTTGCTAGAGGTAGAGGTTGAAAAACCTGGATAGGGGAGAGGGGGGCACTTTCAGAGGTTACTTAAATGTAAAAATCATTTATATATAGTACATTGCACTGGCCTTATTAAGGCTCTTTGCAGTTAAGACAAAGACCTCAGTCAATCCTATGTCTGGAAGATGTTCACGTTGCCCTCACCATTATATTCAGCAATGCTGTTTCTTATTGCCCTTTCCTTATATATGGATACTCTCCGGATCACAGAGTCACATAAATGAGTTTTCAAAGGGAAGCTCTCCAACAACGTTGACTACCAAAAAAAATTTAGGAAATACCAATTTAGGAAATACCAAATGACAGGAAAAGGACTTGATCTACCACTTCAGAGAACAAGCAGTGAAACACTATAATAACCTTCCACACATTTCACTGGGGTAATCAAAGGCTCTGACTTATTAACCACCACAGGCACAGAAGAACATGGCCAGGCTGCCATAACCACACTCTACAGCCCAGTCAATCAGCACAAAGCCACCCTCCTCCTTTCCCAGAGCCCAGCTTCTGCCTGCAGATACTGTACACAAAGTTTAATTTAAAAACTTAAGCTCTGTCTAGCGATACAGAAAAGCACAAGGGTTTCCTTTGCACAGGAAAAGAATCCTCTATTTGCTTTTGCCCATTTGCTCAGTAAGGAAACTTGAAAAGGCAAGAAGTCTCCAACTTGGCAATGCACAGAAGATCCAGTGTTCAAAGTAATAGAATTTAAAAAGCTTAAAGCAGATTATCTCAAAGACTGACAGCTTTGGGATTGCTCCTCTTTAACAAAAAATCACGACACTACATTCCTCCCTCATCTGATGAGGGCAACACTAAAGACAAGCAGTTCTCCAAGGCCCACATTTGCATGTTTCAGATGAGATAAAAAAAAAAAAGAAAGCAATACTTACAGGAGCTGGCTAGCCACTCGCCATTAGGACTAAACTTTACTGATGAGACTGCCTTTGTATGTCCCGCTAACGTGAACTTCAGAGCATAGTTTGGTTTTACTGGCGCAGGCTGTAAGAAAAATATATATGAATGAGTTGAATAAATTCCAAATTTAGGATCTCGGTGACAAGCTCTGTATCAGACTGGGTCAGTACACAGTAATGGACTGCATGACTGTTCACCATAGTAGATATTCCAGCATTTACATTTCCCCCCGCCTCCAAATTAAAAAAACAAAACAAAATGCACACCTTTGCTGTCTGGGGACAGCAGTGCCTCACTGGTGCATGCACAACACCAAATCACCTTTAGTGTGAATTTCATCCAAGCCAATAACAAACAGGTGAGAGTAATCCAACAGCCCAACCAGAAAGTGTCTGGCAGAGCAAGATCATCCTCTCCAAACTGATCTGTGAAGAGCTTTTAAGTGTTTGCAATTTCCATCCTTATCATGAATTAAATCACAGGCCAATTCCTCCAAACCCCTAAAATACTTTTTTTTTTTTCACCTTTTGTGAAGGGTTCACAGATAGACAGTAACACCTCCTTTGAGCGTTTGCAGGCTTCAAAGAAACTGAATAATGACCGTCTGCCCACTTTGCAGCTACTATCACAGATTCACCAATTCTCTGGTTGCCTCTAGGCACCCCAAGGATACACCCAACCTGCCTTTGTAATGCTCAAGCAAGACTTTCCACTAAACAAAAAAACAAACAAACAAAAAAAAAACCACACTAGCACAACAAAAGAGGCTGTACTCCACTTTTCCCATAAAATCCTCAGCACAGTTTTCAGCTCGAGACAACAGCAGAAGCAGAAATCTGGAGAAGCTCTTAATCTATATGAGAATTCAATTCTCTAAGTCTGGTTTGCCTGTTGAATATGCAGGTAGTTGTATTTACACGGATATTGTTCGGAGCCCCACACACACCTTGCTCTGATTGGTCGAGGAGGAAGGAGTAGATTGTGTTTTGGTGGATTCTGCATCTGGCTTCTTTTCTTCTGTTGCCATGGTTCTGAAGCTGGCAAATGAGACTTATGGTGCTTGAAGGGGAGAATGAATGTGCTGCTTCAAAAGGCGGCCCTTGCCACGGAGAGGAGAACGGCACTGAAAGGAAAACCTGGAAGAAAAACCAGAATATTCTCATTAGCTGTCAAAGAGACTCTCAGCAGCTAGAAGAATGAGATTAGCTTAAACTACAGGTGACCAGAAACCAGTATGAAAACCCACATTCTGCATCTGTTTAGCAACACAGCAGTATTTTAGGCCTTCAGACCTACTCACGTGCAAGACCAAGAACCCAAGCCATGGCCTTTTATCACTTCTTGGAAAGCTTTTTTTCCTCATTCTGCTTCGCTTCCAAATGGAAATAAAGCAGTATAGCCTTTAGGTGCGGTGGGGTTTTCATATCATATTCCCCAAAATACTTCTAAGAAGTACTCAGAACATAGTAAATACCACAGTTTGCACAAGAGGTGGAAGGAACAACCCAAGGCCTTCTCTTTCAGACATATTACGGTACGGAATAAGAGACCATAATGAGCAGAAAAAAAAATAACAGGCATTCCCAGAGCTTAAGCCCTTACTAGATTTCCTTTCACCTCGGAATGCAAGCATTTTGGTCTCATATTTCCTTCCTAGATGGTTGGAACATCAGATCATACCCTCCTCTGTCCAGGACTTCCACCTGACCAAAAACCGGCCTTTTGTACCAGCCTTATTTTCTGGAACAAAACCTGCCTGAGTGGGAGCCGGCACCGGGTGACCAGGGCCCAGGCTGCCGAGGGAACCATCATCTCCGTCTGGAACCATCTCCATTTCATCCTCGTAAAGGCAAATCCCACCCCCCATTTCTCCCTGAAAGGATTTCTCTTCCAAAGCCTCCCAACATCCCACCGCCGCTCTCCCCACGGGTGGCACCACATTTGGGGAACCGCTGGCCCCTCCATCCATTCCCACCATCCCGGGGAGGGGACGGCTCCCCCCGCGGGGGGAACCGCTGCTCGCGACACCCCGAAATTTTTAAAAAAGTTGGTTGTTTTTTTTTTTCCTGAGGTAAACCGGGTTCCTCCCGCCTGGGCATACACACACACACACCCCCCCCACACACACCACCACCACCTCAACCCCCATCCCCTCCCCCGGGCCCGACACACCCACCCGTTACAAACGCCCCATCCCCGCCTGGCCGCGATGGGACCCCAAATTCTGGGATAGGGGTGTGTGTG